GGATGAAGGATTAATTGACTATTTGATGCAAAGTTTGGAGATCAAATATCATACTTTCAAAGTTGAGGACTTGGAAAAAAAAATAATTTATTAATTGGGCCTCAATTGGACCTTGAATTGGAAGCAAATTGTATAAGTGGTTGGGACTCCAACTTAAAAGGGCATTTGGGGATTGATTTTATATACATTTAAAAAAGATCAGCCAAGGAATTGGAGAAAAATTGGAATTTGGTTTGAAGGCAAATATTGGGGTTGGTTAATACACACACATACACATATATACGCCTGCACAAAAAAAAAGGAAAAAGTCAGAGGAGAGAGAGAGAGAAGAAAAAAGAGGCTGCTGAATTATATATTAAAAAAACACATTGGGTGGCAGCAAAAGGCGACTCGAATTTGGAGTTAAATTGGGGAATTATATACGTATATATATTATACACACATTCGAAGCGAGACATATACAATAGTGGGCGGATTACGAAGAAAAAGGGGGCTTATTCTATACATTCAGTCTGTAGAAATTGGAGAGAAAAATTGGCCCTTTTGTTGGAGTCAACTAAGGCGGCTGGATTGATTTCATTTTCATATACACAAATTGGGAGTGCCATAATTTACATATATTCCACACGCACACACAAAAAGAGTGCAGCTGTTTGGAAGAGGAAAGAGATACACATATTGAGAAATATACATACATAGACAAGCCATAAACGGGCAACGTCGAGAAAATTTGTGGAATTATCTAAATTTTCTTTGTTTAATTCCAACATCATGTTAGGCTAATTCTTTCTCATGTGTTGGATGAATATGAAACCTTTTATTATTTATTTTTAATTCAAAACACGTGGCTTAGTTGAATTTTTGCAATTCTTAATTTTTCTTACATTCCTAATTTTATTATTTGATTGCTTGATCACCAATTAAATGTATAGTTGCTTGTTGTAGTGCTTGAAAGCTCACAATAGGTCTAGAGCATTGCTTGATTAACATGCGTTAATTAATTTTAGGAATAATATTTATCACTTGTGCAATCTTTGAGATAATTGTAAAATGGAATGCATTTTATTCATTCGAATTCGGACTAAGAATAGATTCGGGTTGTGATTAGGATATATTTAATTTGTCTTGGAAAAGAAAATTAATTAAAATAGGATTATCGATTGTCAAGAATATATGAATGAAATTAGCTACGTAATCAAGAATTGTAATAGATAATAATTGGTAGATTCATAATTTAATATACTCTTCCTATATACATATTAAATTCGCATTTTACTCACTTTCACTAATTAAGTAGATTAATTAAAAAGCATAAATTTCCTTTGTTTGTTACTTTGAATCTAATTAAATACTAGTACACTCAGTTAAATTTTATTTCTCATGGGATGATACTTTCAACTCATCAATCTATTATTTGTCAACGATCCTGTACGTTTACGGGTTTCACACGAACAACCGCGTAGGTGTAGCAGGTGCAAAGCAATAGAGCATACTCGCCAATTTTGTACAAATCAAATTTCCCTAAGTGACAGTTAGATGGTTGTGTAATGATGTCGATCTAAAATGAACAATATTTACGTTTATTTTACAATATTCAAAACAATTTCGTAATTAAATAAGCAACTATATCATATTACAAAAAAATTCAATGTACAAAAAAGAATAATTACAAATAATTGTATATCAAAGAATAATTACAAAAAATCTCGCGTTTTTACATAATTTTTACATTATTTACAATTATTTCATAATTACAAAGAATAAATTTATGGATCACAACTAAATTCTTATAAATCGCACGCTAACTTATTCTGCGTACTCGTTACCCATAAGTTGTAGCGATTGATACTCAATGGTAACGACACAGAAGAACTCGATGTTCATTATTATTCGACCAGGAACGTTGAAGGATCTTGGATATCCCTCAACTCGATTGCGCAACAAGTCTATGGACAGGTCGATGTGCTACATCAAGAAGAGGGAGTTATTTCATTTAATAAATCAAACATTATATATAAACAAAAAATTAACAATATCACTACTCACTTACATCGTTGACGAGTCAAGCCCCCTAAGTGGTGATATCATGAAATCACTTGTAAGCATCCAATATCATCCTTCGGGCTATCGTGCGGCTAACTCTAAAAAATTCGAGAAAATGTTAAACGAAGCATATACGAGTTAGTGTAGTCTATTAAAATCATACAATACTTACCTGGGCAAAATTCTTCGCCACTCCGTCACGAATACTTCCCATTTGGCATGGTCGACCTCTTAAAATAGATTTGGGATACGTCCCGTCGACAAACCTCTTCGCCTTCACCTTAGTCGTAAAAAGAGAGACAATGTACCGTGACGACACTCTCGACCTCTTGCTGATCACCAGCTCCGACACGTCAACAACATGCATTTTAGCTTCTGTCACGACGATCATCCTTCACCTCGGGGATCGCCACCCCTCCTTTCCTCGACTGGGCTATCTCCTCCTCCGCCATCTCTTCCGTCCCCGATGGGGCTACTAGCTCTTGCTCCACAAATATTAAGAATGCTTATAATACATCATCTATCCACAAATGTG